AAGAATATACTTCTAACCTCTAAAAGAGTAGGGAAGTAATATTGTCTTTATCTCCACAATTATTTTACTACATTCATCCTTTACTTGTATTTGTTTCTTTTAAAAAGATTTTATGTAGTTTACATTGACCCCAGAGAATGAGCTTTAACTTCTGATATTTACTAATCATCTTTGTTAAATAGTACATTAGGTACATTCTTATCTAAACTAAGCATTTGGTCATTCTATTTAATTTTAAATTGCTAACCAAAGGGAAACACACTTAAAAACTAATTCCAATCACCTGGGGATGTCTTTTGTTTTTGAGTGCTGTAAGTATATTTGTGTCACATATTTTATTTCAAAGCACCGATGGCTATTGGGAAGTTTTCTAACTTGTGGTTCATTTTAAAATGTATTGATCCCCATAGGGACAAATTGATCTCTTCGCAGCTCTTGAATTCCTTTGTAAAGCAAATTCTTCATGTCTCTCAATTTGTGAAAATCAAAGTCTTCCTTCTTATTCCGCAATTATATGAGATCATTGAGGAATGTCAGATGTTCACACTGGAAGTTCCTTCATGTAGATACACAGAAACCACTTCATTATTATGCTAGCAAATATTTACTTCCAGAACTTGTGTAATTTCTAGGGTCTCAATACACATAACTGATATTATAGACTGTCATTCTGTCTAGATCACAAGTGGTATCTGCAACTGAAGAATTATGCTGGGGACGCTGAGTGCAGGCTCGCTTCCCTTAGACGTGCTCCCCTAGAATGCTTGCTCCTTTCATGACTCCTTTAGATCAATTCCCTGAGAATACCCATGGGTGGGGACAAGTTAGGGTTTATTGCAAAATCTCTGAAGAAAGACAGAAAAACCTACATACCGATATACATAATGAGACAGCATGTGGTAGCTATTTCTCAATGTCATAATGAAGCTGTGAAAAGTCAGCGGAGCACGTCCCATAACATCACCCTTTGAGATCATATAAATGATATCTATTCCAGGGGAACACGTTTCTTGTTTTGTTTTTTTCCTTTCTGCTGAATTTCTTTTATGGAATTACCTCAGAGAGGAGGGACTTACATTTTATAGAGGTACTATTGATTTTGGACAATGGCTGTGAGTGAGGACCTCATACTGTTTATGTGTTTGTTTTCCGAAGGCTATTACACGTGTGTGGAAGTCATCTTCACCCTACGGAGACAGGTAGGGTTTTACATGATGGGTGTCTACGCCCCAACTCTGCTGATTGTGGTCCTTTCCTGGCTCTCCTTCTGGATCAACCCGGATGCCAGTGCGGCTAGAGTGCCCCTAGGTAAAATGCCTGCAATGTAACCCTCTCATGTGGGAATATCTTTTCTCTTGGGCCTATCAAATCCTTCATGGTATAGGCCTGGGCAACATGTCTTTCTGCTGTAAATGGGGTTGCCATGACTCATAGCTGACTTGAAGGCAAGCGACATATAGTAAATTATTCTAAAGCAATGACTTTTGAAAATTGAGGGCAACCTATTATTATTTTGAAGGTTTTCTTAAATGCTTGCTGCAGAAAAAATATCCTCAATGTTTGTGCACTCTATAATTAAGTCACATTTTCTTGAGGCATCCTTGGGGTAGTTTAAATCCTTACACTTAATTTTTCCTACCTTTTGTGTCATGAAATAATTAATAAGTGATATTTGTAGATAAAGTAAAATTTTCAGTGGTAGCGCCAAAGTTAAAAATAGAGTAGTGATTTTGATCAAATAGTTCTAAATATTACACACTACCCTATTCTTGTAATCGAGCAATATGTTATATAATTCATCTTTACAAAATTATTCAGCATTTTTTCACAAACATCGGTTATTGTGTGGTGCTAGTGTGTGTACGGTTCATACTTCCTTACCCCTTACAACCATGCTCTTGGTTTGTTATTTTTCATGCTCTGTGACATATAAATGCCATTAGCTCAGTTTTGAACTATTGGATATATAAAGGCTAAAAAGTCTTTGCAGAGGGATATAATAAAGAAACCTTCCATTAGGTTAAAGTAACCTTCAAAAAAGAACATTGTGACAATAAATTTAGATTATTTGGAATTTCAGATATTTTATGACTGTGTGTGTGTTTGAATGTGTGTGTGTTTCCAGAATATCACCTGGAACTCATATAGATAAAGCCCTGATATAGTTGACCTTTTTGTGAGTGATTGGTGGCTGAATTTTATTTATTTTTTCTTCCTTCAAAAAGGCTTTGTGCAAAATCCCTGCAGACTTATTAGTGGAATTTAATGAAACACAGATTTTTAAAGAGTTAGAAGCATGAAGATGCTCATTTTATCTAAATAAGAAATCTGGCATTTCACATCTAATAAAAATCACAAAGAACAAATGTCTATTCACATGGAAATATCAGATTTGTACTTCTCACACCAAACCATGTTATTTAGTGCAAATCCATTTGCTGTCTATTCTGTTTCTGATGCCAGCAACCTGTGCAGCTCTCATCCATTGACATTCACCACCCAGAAGAGGTCAGATCATAGGTTAAAGGGTTCAGTACTCAAGACTGCTAAGCCAGTTCATGACACCCACGCTTTTGACATGCTGGCTACAAATTTGGAGTTTTCAGACTACCTCTTCAATATACCAGCTGCAACTTGAAAGTCTTCGTCCCTTCTCACATCTGACCCGCTGGCTCCCCCTAGTCTCTCAGGTTTCCGAATTCACTAGAATTACCTAGAGAACACATGGAAAGTGCTCATCTTGACTATGCTGTCTCAACTAGCATTCTCTACATTTATATCTAGGTTCTAATAATTGTTTCAATGGCTGCATAGAGCTCACACGATTAATCATTAAAGAGTTTATTAAAGGAGCTAACAGGTTTTAATACAAGTGACAAATGCTCTGGATATAGTTGTTCATCAAGACAGGTTGCCAAGTTCTGTCAGGGCTGCTAATAAATGCCAAAAGGCATGCCACTCTTCTGCAAGCCACATTCAAACTCAAGCTTAATGGGTCAGCAAACGCAGCTCCCTTAATTAAGTGCCCGGAGGAATCCCACTGCACAAACCAGCCTCTGACCCTAAGCACTTAGTTTTACGTGCTCTGTGGACTGAGGAGCCTACTACTATGTTTCATTCTTTGGCTTCTGGTCCTACTGCTTCTCATCTGATGCTATGGCTCTCTTCTGGATCCAGGAGGCTCAGCGCAAAAGGATCACACGGTCTAAATGCGCTCTTTCTCTGGCTCTTGCTGGTAGTGACTTTCTCTTCTCCTGCTTCTCAGAGGCCACGTTTTACAAGCAGTAGGATGGCAATCACAATGTATCCGGTTAGTAGTTGTGCACAGGTGAATGCTACAAGTGCTGCCCCACACCTTCTTACCCAGACCCATGTGGGAAAAGGTTCTTCCGTGGAAGTGACAGAGACATTGTCTAGAACAGCCACATTAAGTAATTCATCTCTCCTGTATAGGATGACGACATTGTTATTCATTTTATTATAAGGAATATAAAGCCGAATCAGCATAAATAAAAGATGTCCAGACAAGGTCTGGAAAGGTCCTCTGAAGGAAGCTTCCTTGTCTCCAAAGAGAGTCACCCTTCTGAGAACAAATTTCTCTTATCAGCTAGGAGGTTCGTGAAAGTTTTGTGCCCAGAGCATTTATTCAAAGGCGTGCTTGATTAAAGTATTCCCCTCTCCTCTTCTCCTGACACCCTTTCCCCAGGGAAGGCTTATCTGAGAAAGTTGGTCCTTCCCTTCTGACCAGATTCAGCCAACAGTCATCAATAAGCTTTACCTTCCAAGTGTGGTCTAGAGGCCCATGGAAGATGAAAAGAAGAAGAAGGAAAATGCTCTTTCATCAAGTAGATTTCCCACCTACAGTGAGCCTGTGCAGGGTTTCTGAGGCTGTAAATCTTTACAGAAGCCGATAGGCTCCTTTGTCTTCTGAAGAGCACTTGGTGAGTTAGCAGTTCAACACTTACCTACCAGCACCACCCACCACCACGGCTCTTTATGGACAACTCATTTACCCCCAAAAAGCCCAAGGTTGATAGTTATTACTTTGTTGGTACTGTGGGTGGGGAGTGCGGCTGCTGGAAGGTGACAGAGAGACCGGCTCTTATCTTACATTACGAATGGATTCAAGAGGTGTATGATCTGCAGTAAAAAACATGTACAAGAGGGATAGCCGGAAGTCGAAGTGCAAGAGTACCTGCAGTATAGACACTCCAGGGCCCCGAACTTTATTAGGGAGGCTTCAAAGCATTCCCTGTGTGCAGTCTGCGACATGTGACAGGTTTTATACAAAGGGACAGTTCATAATTCGAAGGGTTACAAAGAAAGGTAACACAGCAGCCAAGTTAGCACAGATAGGAGGGGAGGATGAGGCTGGGAAGATGAAGTACCTGTTTGCAGACTGCTGCTTCTGCCACTTTAGTCCGGGAACAAGAGACCAGTGTCCCTTTATCTCAGGCAGAGAACGTAGTCAGCTCCCATGGCTGAACCATAAGCTTTCTCCCACTGGCCGTGAACTGTGGAATGTGGTGGCCCTATCCTGTTTGCCTAAAGAGTAAACAGCTTTTACCCCACAGGTTGCTAGCTGCAAAGTCAGTGGTTGGAATCCCCCAACCTCTCTGCAGGAGAAAAATGAAGCTGTCGGCTCCCAAAAAGATGTACAGCC